ACTACAGTACGCAGACGCTTGCACAATATAGGTCTTTATGCATAGACGACCAGTTGTCTGTGTCTCCTTGAACCGAGGACACAGAGGTGCCCGTTTATGTTGGGCAAGAGAGCATTTCTCTTGGACCAGTTAACAAATGTGCGTCTGTTCTCTTCACAGACGAGTCCAAGTTCACATTGGAAAGTGTTACAGGTTGTCAGCTGATCTGGAGAGAACAACGCACCAGGTACAACCAATCTCACATAGTGGAAAGACACAGTTACATAGGTGGTGGAATAAAGGTTTGAACTGAGATCTCTCTCGGTGGGCACACTGACCTGCATGTTTTCCATGGAGGAACTTTGACTGGTATTAGATATCGAGACGAGATCGTTAACCAGTATGTCTTTCCATGTGCCGCTGCTATTGTTCCTTGATTTCTTCTGATGGATAACAATGCGTAACCACACCAAGCTCGGTTTGCTGAAAAATATCTTGAGGGTCACGGTATGGAACGGATGGAATGGCCAGCTCGGTCCACAGACATGAATCCCATGCAGCATCTTTGGGAATACCCTGGTAGTCAGGTTGCTATTTTAAGTCCTCCTCCGAGGTAGCTAGATGACCTTGAACAAGGATTTCTCCGTGTCTGGTAGTTGCTTCCCATTTCACTGTCAGACAACCTAATTGACAGTATGGAACGCTGCTGCCGCCAGTGCAGGACTGGACACATTCTTTCATTGGAGTCCATTTTTGTAATGTTACCACCACATTTGACCCCAAAAATCTGTGATGTACTGTTTCTCCAAGACTGGATTTCTCTGCCAAGAGTGCAATTTTTTGTTGTAATTTATGTTTGTGTTGAACTTTAAAAGTATTCTATGTCGCAATCATTAAATAACTGTTTAGCGAACTTTTTCTGCAATTCTCTTGTTTCTATGTTGTTTCATTCTCAAATTAGACACAAAAAACATGCCGTTCCTTTACTTTTGGACAGCAGTGTAGTTCCAATTAATGGGGTGTTTTTTCCGCATGAGAAAAAGGAATGTTTTTAGTGGCTCTAAGGAAAAAATGCATACACGCGTCTGTGGAGCATTAAAGTTCTTGATATTGCTTTAACATGATATTTAGTTGTTAAGTCTATCAAAATTCTTAAAAGACAACCTGTCTGCCGTTTCTTCCCTCCCGGAAGACCAACACATCACAATTGAAATCATCCTGAAGCTGTAGATCAACGCTTATATGACGGGTGTTGACAAATAGTAACAGCCAGCAGACTTAGCGAGTATTAGTGTGCTTCGATTTAGTTTATTCCGCCTAAGTTTACTGCGCTGTCCCACAATATTCACCTGCGGGTTGATATCAAGTGATCCGCAATCTGCAAGTCGACTCTTGAACTAACACCCTTTAATTGCAGCTGTATGCTCTGGTGCAGTAGTCATGGTCGTCGGTGATCACCAGTTTTGACGGGCCTACCTAAACGTCTATTTACTTTTGATAAATCTTCTACTCGGACTTCTCCCCATAATTTTGGCATTGAGTTATATTAATAACTGATAGATTTGTTACCCACACGCTTTGGAAAGTGTTACCATAGTGCGAAACATAAGACGTTAAATTTAAGTTCCACATGTTTTTTCATTTCTTAAATTTTTTTGACTGCAAGAAACAAAATATTTAATTTTTCTTCCTCACACCTCGCGCATAAACTGTTCTAAGAGTGCAGGCATTCAATGAAACATAAGAGGCTAAAGTACCATTCTAAATTAACCAATATTCTAATTTAAAGAAATAAATAGATACATACGTATTAGATCAGGGTACATTTGTAAGAATTGGAGGCTCCCTTCAGCCTACCTGGACACGAGTGTCCCCATAGCTCAAAAGAAGGGGCCCCGTATCTCCACAAACGAGGGTAGCCGGTAACCCAGCTACCCCCAAACAACAAACAAAAATACTAAATTAAAAAAAGTAAGCACATCTAACAAAAAATTACAAACCATGACATACCTATTAAATCGCTCCCCTGATTTTTGCTTAACTTTCTGTCCTTTTTTAGTAGCTCTTTTCGTTTTTGCCATGCTTTCGTCTCTTTCATCCGGAGGATGTTTCAAGAGAAATCTGTCCAAAGAGCTTGTTTCTTTCTTCCTTTTGGAATGTTTCTGAAATATGTTAGGCAAGAATCATTAAATAGGGTTGCTGCATGCCCAGTTGTAATCTTTTAAGGGTGTTTCTTTTCAACAAAGTTTGAAAATTTTATCCATTCTGCCAATACATCCTTTATTTCACTTGAAGAGATAGCCTATTACACTTCTGGTTCCTCTGCATCTCACGCATAAATTTCATTTTTTGCTGCATCTGTAGTTCCATCAACTCCTCCGTTGTCAGTTCTTCGAATTGTGTAGTGACAATCTCTTTAATGTTTCCCTCATCCACTTCCAGGTCTCTAGACTTTCCAAGATACGCAGTTTCCTCCAGTACTTCCTATTCAGGTCTAAATCCTTCAAAGTCCCATTTCAATCACAACGTCAAACCACAAGCTTTTTCCATTCAGAGGTCAAGGTCCTTTTTGAAACAACCTGCCAGACCATATCAATAATTTTAAGGCATATGGCAATGTTATAGTGGTCTTTCTAGAACTCTCAAAGGTGAAGTTTGTGTTCTGCGTAACCTCAAATCAGTGCAACAAGTCTTTGATAAAACGTTTCTTGAAACTGGAGGCCACGTGTTGGTCCATGGGCTGTAGGAGAGGGGTGGGGTTGTGTGAGAGGTAGATAATTTTTATGAAGCTGAAATTCTCGAGAATGTCATTCTCAAGGTTTGGTGGGTGGCAAGTAGAATTGTCAAGGACGATACAGTTATCGTATAGCAGACGATCAGGCGCCAACAGACGAGAGGGGCTCGCTTGAGTAAGTTACTGACCTCGAGATATTTCTTAACGGCAGAAACAAAGACCAAGTTGTTTCACTCTACAAGAAACTTCATGGTGCCCCATGCCATTGGGTTTGCCCTCTACATAACCTGTAGCTTCTGTTCTAAACCACTACACGTCTTAACTCTGGGATTATCTGAGTGATATACGAGCAGCGGCTTGACCTTGCAGTCGCCACTCGCATTTGCACACAGTGCGAGGGTCAACCTATCTTTTATGGGCTTGTGACCTGGCATCTTCTTTTCTTCTACTTTATGTAAATTTTGCTTGGCATCTTCTTGCAGAAAAGCTCTCTCTCGTCCCAGTTGAACACTTATTGAGTTATGTATCGTTTGCCTTCGAAAGAATACGCAAAGGCTTTTACAAATTCCTGAGCTGCTTTGGAATCATTGCTCGCTGCCTTAACATGCCTGACGGCAAAGTGAAAGCCAGTATTTTTTCGGATATTCTCGAATCTCCCAATTCGTTTTGAACTGCTTCTGTGAGTCGTCTTATGCTGAAGTATTTGGGCTCTGCTGCAGCATATCTGTGTTAATGAATTTTGCCTTCTCGCAAACTGTAGTCTCTGTCAGAGTGATTTCAGCGAGCTGCTTCTGTGTCAACCACAATAACAGCATATTCTCCATCCTTTCATGCACAGAGTTGCAAAATTCTTGAAATAATTTTAAAGTGCTCACCTGGACTTTAGTCTTTATTGAATGCTTCAGAATCTGCTTCAGAATAATACATATCGTAGAAGTTGTACGCAGAAGCGTAGCTAGAGGGGGGCAAGGGGGCCATCTGTCACTGGGCGCAGAATCCAAGGGGCGCCAAACTGATGTTACGACATTTTAGAATTAAATGTTTTCCATCCTTGGCAAGCAGTAGGGGGCGCGAAACCCTCAGTTATCCCTGGGCGCTGAAAACCCTAGCTACGACTCTGATTGTAAGATTATACTGCATTGTTAAGTCATTTACTCTTACGCCTTGCGCAAGTTTGTGCTTCTGCGGAAAGGGAATTGAAATGGCGGATGGATCTGAGCAGTGGTGACGTCACAACCAGTTTGTGCTCGCAAGACTTGCAAATCTGAATGGTGGTTTAGGTTTGTGAGTCTTGCGCACGCCAACTCCTGTGATGCCGCCGACGCTAGATAGTATCTCAAATTTTGATTCGTAACTCAGGCGAAAAACTGGACCTAATGACTGATCGTATCTCAAAAAATTCGTACGTTAGGTACTCGTATCTCAAGGTACTATTGTACCTTTATATGCCGAAAGAGTTTCCACATGAGTAATATATAAATTTTCAAAGTCTAAAAATATGTCATTAATATTCACATGAAGTTTTATAATTTTGGCATCATAATCTGGTAATCATATAAATTTCATTAAAATTTCCTAAATTTTTAATTAATGCAAATAATACTACTAGTTGGGTGCGTTACAATGCTGAAGCCTCTCAGAGATTTTTAGAAAACGAATTTTCTAAACTTCTGTGAATAAGATCTTATTTTGAAAAAAAAAAAGATATATATATCGTTCAATACTTTTCACAGTAATATGCATGGAAATACCCTTCACTTAATCTCATAGCACTAGAAACGTTTTTAACCGATATTCGATGTTTAATTACGTACAAATGCACAAATTTCACGCTTCAGTTTGTGTACAGATCATGAAGATGATCCCCGAATTTAATATCAAATATCTCTGTCAATTGCTTTCAAGTCCCAATGTCACACTTTTGTACTTTATTCTTTATAAGGAGTATATTGGGATTTTCAAATTTAACTGTTTGACGTACATATAGCATCAGCTGCTTATTAGGCGAGAAGCTTCTAAAATAGTTGAAAAAATTTCAGAATTATTCATAATAACTCAGTTACACTTTTCAACTGATGAAAGCGAAAGACAGGCTTTTTCTGACCTAATTTCATTCCATATGACGTCACGTGATACAAAGCACTTTAATAAAATAAATTATTTATACTAATTTGTACTTCATTAGAGGCATACCAGTACATTACTACTTTATTTCCGACATTTAGAATGATACACCCTAATTTATAAAAGTCATATCGAAGAAGTCAAATAAAACTTCGAAAAAAAATATAAAAAAAGGAAGACGGTTTTATTTGGATAAAGATACATCACTAGAAGCAGCAAAAGACAGATTTATTTCATTAAGAGGTTTTCCTTTTGTCTCTGGCATGAAAAAGTAACAAAATACGCAACCTAAAAACGAAAATGATGCATACGTCCAATAAACTCCATAAATACCTAAAACAGATTTCATAGAGTAATATAATTTTGATGTCGCAAAAGCACAGATGGCACCGACAATGCATGAAACGGCCATCACCGTACTTCTACTATGAAGAGGAACTAGTTCTGGTATCATAACATAAGGAACGGGTCCAAATCCCATAGAATAAGATGCTATATAAGAAATAAAACACACATCTGGAATCCAACCAAGCGAAGTTGTATTTATTTTATGTTCAGCGGCCAGAAGACTGAAAACACCAAGCACTGTTAGGGACAAAATCATGCAGCCTCCAGAAGTTATGTACAGCTTCCTCCGCCCAGCTCTATCCATCAGTATGCTACTGACACCTGATGAAAGAACAAACACAACTGCGAATATTACGGAACCCAAAGAAGGGCTTATAAGACTTCCAGAGCTTTCGAAGATTTCCACGGTATACGTCAGAAATACATTCAAACCGCAAAACATCTGAAAGAACATTAAAGTTACAGCTATTGCTAAGGGTTTGTAGAAAGCTGGATCACAAATATCCTGCAGGCGTATACTGCCGTCGGACTGCTCTGCTTGGCTTTCAGAAATCTCTCGTAATTCTGTCTTGTAATCAGATTTCTTCCCTCTTAACTTCTTCAATGCCTTCTCAGCAGCGAGACTTCTGGATTGACTTACCAACCAAGCTGGAGATTCTGGAACGAAATACATGAGACATACAGCACATGTAATGATTACAGCAGCTGACACGGCTAACCAAGACCACCTGAGAACAGCGCCCAGTCCCATTGTGATTAAGATACCCAAACCAGCTGCTATCGTAAATCCCGATGTTAAAAGTCCTCGCGTTTGCGTCGTAGCAATTTCAAGCACGTATACTGGAACGGCAACATTACACACACCAGAGCAGAAACCAGTGAGAGCTCTCCCAGCATAAATCCATTCAACGGAAGAAGCATAGGTAATCATTAACCAACCAGTCAGGTATACGGTAGACACATACATCAATACGGCCTTACGTCCTAACTTCTGCGAAGCATAACCTGAAACGAAAGGGATAAGTTGTAGATAAACTATATATATAAATATCTTAAGCTTAGTACAAAAAACTATGATCTTATTTTTAGTTAATAAATAAAATATATTTTAATGTCCTAAGCAACTTTCAAAGCTCATTTAAAGAACGAAGAAAACGCAAGGCGATAAAATGCTAGTAACCTGATATTTTTATATTTACGTAAATAACATTACGCTTGAAAAAATCAGATATATTTCATAAAAACGCATTACTATGTATTTAGTAAATGTTAAGTCTAAACCTTTCTTGCACCCTTCTTAAGCTTTTTTTCTTAGAATGCAAGTATAACGTTATGTGGTTTACATTAAAAATAAATTCATGCGTAAGATATACTAAGTAAGGGGGCAAAGATTATTGAACTCTTACGTTACCTATTCAAACTTTTACTCGTATGGAAAATTAAGAGCTGCAAGAGACTTTACGTTTGTGTGAAATACAGCAGACATATAAAATTTGGCATAAATATATGTTCATAACGGAGAAAGAGATGTGCCATTCAAGTGTCATTTTACGTACGCATAATTATCAGTAATACTCATATTGCAGGGATGTCAAAATCAACGTTGTGATATTGAACTGAAAATTATTCTATTATAGGGCCTATCCCCTTCACTGCCAGACAAGTCTCACAGCGGGATGACATACTGGACAGGATCAGGTGAGGATTCTCTGTAGCAACCGATCCCACTCCTATAGCAAAGCAGTTTTCAAATGCTGGTGGTTTTCGGAGGGGGATGGCAAGAGGAAATTGCCTTTCTAAGACTGCCCAAACAAGCTTTATAGCGTTAGGAACAAGAGTATAGGTCTACAAGGTTAAGGTCAAAGGCTAGCCAATGCATGTGGCTAATATCTTCACTTTCCAAATAATCGCGGACCATTTGCGCCGTAGGTAACTCTAGCACTGAAACCATTACCAGGAACCCAGGACAAATTACGCCACTGAAAAATTGAACATAGAGCTTATAGAGTTTCTCAATTTTATTCTGTTAAATTAAGTGTCGAGTAACCTATCGAACTGTTAAGCGAATTATCGCTTACTTCAAAGAACAGAAAATGTAAACTCAAGAAGGCTTAATTACCCTCTATTCACTCAAGGAATATTTTAATGATATTGATTTGGCTACAATCAAGGAATAAAATAGAGAAAAAAGCATTTGAAGCTCATTCAATGCTTTAACATAAGATCTACAGTCGACCCGTTTCTTCGGGCTTACAGCAAAGCCTCCACTTGGGCTTAAACTCAAAAGTAAGAAATAAAAACTGACTAATGACTAAGAGATTTAGCCGAAACTAACATAATTTTAATTCTTATCTAGTTGGCTCGTAATCAATCTTAAACTGGTCAGCAAACTATCAAAAGGCACGTAATGATACGGCTGAACATAACAACAGCTTAGAGAGACGTAACCAAAGGCAAACCCGAGCTACTCAGGATTCCTAACTCTCTCTCTTACGAAGTCAGTTGAATTTTCCTTTGATACTATTCTTCTTCATTTGCATTCAACGCATTTCTAAAAACTCATTCTGGTAGAGAGTTGTAAGTTGAAACGAGATGAGATAGGATAGGTTCACTAAATTAAAATAACTGTTATAAAATTAAAATATACCTTACAAGCTCTTAAATCTCGTCTCTATAACTCATAGCATTCACTGAGCTTTTGTCAAACATATGTAGGGTGGTGCGACCATCCAATATACTACCTGTCCAAACCATTATTCCTCCACCACCGTAATGATCCTTTTTCCTGATGAGGAAGAGGTGGTATCGTTTAGGCTCTCTCTAGATACAGGTATGCCAAGAATCAGTGTTCAGGCTGAATCTTGATTCATCTTTAAAAAGCACAGAACTCCACTGAAGTCTGGTGCAAAGAAGACATTGTGTGCTGCAGTAAGCGAGATACAAACAGCAGGTCTTCTGGCATATAGCCTTATCTCATGCAGCCTTCAGTCAACTGTAGCTCGTGAGACTCGAGTTTAAGTGGTAGCATATAGCTCACATGAGAGCTGTGGAGCTGTAGCAGTTCTGTGTCGCAGTGTTGAAAGTGTCAAATAATTATCCCCATTCATCGTTGTAGACCTTGCTCGACCTTGTCTAGGTCTTCTCGGTCCTGACACTGTTTCCACAAACTGCAGATGACACTGGGCGTTGCATTGAGCGCTGTAGCCAATTGCGCAACTGATATCTTATAAAATTTACCCAAATCTTGCGACAAACACGGCGAACGTGGAGAAGGAGTATGAGTACAAAAATCTCCGAAAGCCTCTCTTGCGCTTATATAACTTCCACAGTCACAGCTCTGCAGTCACCCACGTGTATGCTTACGTATTCGACTATTCTTCGGCGGTATAATTGGTATCTTTGGTTCAATACCTAACATACATACTTTGCAAATTTTCAAATTTTGCCGCGAGTATATTAGCATGCAGGAACATTTTTAATCTGACATTTCATATACGGACTCCTCAGTGTAGAAAATTCAAATAATCAACTATTCTGCAACATTTTAAAAAAATGTATTAGATTTTCATCTTAACGCACAACCGTTTTGGCATATTTTACTGCAGCTTTTTATCCGTTCGATACCGATTTCTGGAAAATATTAATCAGTTCACACTTTTTTCTACGTACGTATTCAATTTTATAAAATAATTGTAACGAAATTTTCTTTTCTTAGAGAGAAATCTGTTGTTTTATATACACACAAAATAATATGTTTAATTATTTTTTACTAAACTTGAACAATAATTGATTCAAAAAGGAGAAAATTTAAATACAAGCATCCAAAATAATTGCTATGATACTACAAACTTTGTATAAACCAATCTCCCATTTAATCATATATAGAAAAAGAACCAGGGAACGATAATTAATTATGCATGATCTTAATACTGTTACAGTTTTTGTATTTAATTTGCTTTTTTTAGTAGAATTATGATTAAAATTGTTTCATATCCTCGTTCAATGCAGCACAGGACTTATTTAAAAAAAAAAGCTACGCCGAAAAAGTAAAAATACAGGAGCACGTGCATTTAATAAATATATATCTCGTAATTGTAGTCTTTTGCTTTCCAGAAAACTCGAGAAATAAAAATTACCAGAATGTTCTCGTGCAGGACTAAAAAGGTTATAAAAGCCGGATTAAAACGTCTCAGTTCAATTTTTTACTTAGTTCTTGTTGTTGATTGTAGCGAATTTGCGGTGAGAGCGGATTAGCTTTCTCTGCTTTGAATTGTGTTCTATTTAACGTTTTAGTAGTTTAAAATATACCTGCGGTGAGATATTGTGATATTGTACGAAAATCTCTAAGGAAATTTCATCATTTTGTTTATTTCTTGGAATAAGAATAAATTTTATCAACTTTTTACCGACTTGTGCATTTAATCCATTATGAATCCGTATGCAAGCAACAATACTTTTGCCAAATGGCATTAAAATATTTTTCGGACGATTTCAAGATTTAGTTTGTTTTATTTGATTTTATATAGAAATTATATATAGAAAAACACAAGAGGGTTACCCTCTTAAGGAGAGGGATGCATTCCTGGAAAAGGAACAGGGTAGAATAAGGAGAGAAGAGGAAGAGAGGCAGGTTAGAATTAGAAGAGAAGAAAGGGAGTTTGAATTACCGAGATTAAGATTACTAGCCGCTAACGAGAATGATTCTTTAACTGGTGGGAATGAAGAAAATGTGCTTATTAAAAGCCTTTATGATCTGCAAAAAAACGATTCCAAAATTTGAACCTGAAGAGAATGATATTAGTTTGTATCTAATCATGTTTGAGTGCCAAGTAAAGAGTACAAACGGAATGGCTTAAGGTTTAATTGACACTTTTGCCAGCTGACATAGTTCAGCTGATTATGAGAGAGTCAAAATAGCAGGCTGATAACTATGCTTACGTAAAAGTGATACCTCTTGAAAAGCTTAAACTTAGCCCAGAAAAATTTCGCATTAAATTTACGTAATCCCCAAAAAACGCTCAAACTACTTGGGGGATTTTTGCCTTTAAATTAAAGAATTATTTTGAAGAATGGATCTCAGGCTTGGAAATTAAAAATTTTGAACTTTTAAAGAAATAAAACGAAGTATCGAGTAAATTTTGAAGCGTGTCAGCATTTTATTGATGAATGGTCGAAGATAACGTCTCCAAATAAATTAGCAGAGGTATTAGAAAATTATGAAAATGTATGTGAATACCAGAAAAAGGTCATTCCTGTTCATAGTTCAGAGTCACAATAGGGCAATAAAAATCAGCCAAGTTCAAGAGATTCGCAAAACTATGAACAGTCTGGAGGAAAAGCTAGATATGAAAAATGTGATCCTTCTGAAATCAGAGTGAATGTCATTTTGATGTACGTAAACCGCTTAAGTGGTATCTTGCGGCTCAACCGATCACTTACGGTTTTAATTTACAGAATGAATTCAAGTAACCAGTTACTCTTAATAGGGTGTAGGAGAATGAAAAAGATTATTTAGCTCCTTACACAACAATGGTTAAAGTAAACGGGTTCGATCTTCCAGTGTTAATCTGCAATAGAGTAATCTGCAATAAATACACCATTCCTTTCAATGCTGACTGGCGAAACTGTTTGCGTAAAATAGCCTTTTTTATGTAGCGCCGCCCACGTCGAGCTTGAAGGGAAGTTTGGATGAATAATAACAAAGGCAGCGGTCATTCTAAACGAGCTTGACCAAAGACGCATCTGCTAGAGAACCGTACGGCTGCAAAATTAGACAAAAGTCAACTCGAAAGACCTTTCTTTCAAGTGAACGCGGTAGAGACTTGAGATGATGAACTCCGTCTGACCAAAACTGAAAACGTCGGGAAAGAAGGGAAGAAGAGAAAGTGACAAGTGTAGGGACAAATTTCTTTCTATGTTAAAGAAGAAAGCAACCCTTCGTCCCAAACAAAAGAACTGAAGGACGCAAAATTTCTTCTCCCCGACGCAGAGGTGATTGAACGTCT